ATATATATATATATATATGTATATATATATATATATATATATATATATATATATATATATATATATATATATATATATATATATATATATATATATATATATATATATATATATATATATATATATATATATATATATATACCAAGAGGTGTATTGAAGTACATTGATTGCAAGTTTGAGCTCGGCTGGGAGTTCACGATTGTCTCCAGAATTGTTAGCAAGGTGAGAATGTTTACGTATATCGATGGGCTAACAAATTTATTTGATACCCAAATGGTTATTGAACCAACGTAGGTGGGTGGCCTACATAAAATATGTCTATGTAACCTTTTTACTGGTTACTTGATTAAGATTGTAGATCGGGTCCCCAACGTTCATCCTTTCCCGTTACATCTTACTATGTGGACTCTCTATAGCTGCTGCGAAAGCTTACATCATACCCATTAGTGACTCTACGATATCCGCACAATTAGACATTGTAAATTGTGGGAAGACACCGTCAAGGCCTTCGGTATCCTTACTAGAATCCGTGTCCAGTCCTAGAGCCTTGCCAGCGTCTCCCAATTGGTCCACGTAACCGATCACCAAAGCAGCAGTGGGCTGAGAAGCATCAAATGCTCCTACAGAAACAAACGGACCCGTGCCGGAGTTGATTTGGAAGTGCAAGCTGCCACTTGGGAAGAAAAACGTGTTTCCCACGACGACGTGTTGTAAGGTCAACTTGTTATCTCCTACACCGTAAGTTCCGATAATACCCTGTCCCTTGACTACTGTTTGAAACTCTGTTGCGCCAGCATGCACATGAGGCGCGACCGCGCCGCATTTTTCGAGACGGAAAGCAACTGTGCTCATGCCCACACCATTGATATCGGGCCAGTTTCCTTTAGCGCCCCCTCCCAATGACGTAGGCATATCGTTGTCGCCCACCGAAAACTTCAAACCTCCACCGGGTCCAGTGAGCTGTGGCTTGTTCAGCATGAAATCTTTATCGAAAGCCTTCTCGGGAGCAACGAATGCGCTGACGGAATTAATAATGCAGCTACTGGCCAGAACCAGGATAGCTAAGGTGCTTGTTGATGTCTTCATTTTAGTAGATATGGGATGTATTTCCTTCGCTGTATCAACAATTTAAATTATTGCTTGGTTGTGGATGTGTGAAAAGCAACCGTCGAGGTGTTATTTATACCAATCCGAGTTGGTTACCCCTTTTACAAACTCGCAAGGGCTACTATCGGGAAGCGACTATTGTATACGCAGCATCCAGCCATAGCTTCAGCAGCAGTCCATCGGGGGCAGTAGTACAGAAAGCTCTAAAATCAATAAAATCAATAAAATCTACAATCTGTATAAATATTAAAAAGTCCAAGAAGGGTACGCCGTCCAAGAGAAACCCCTAACGAGACTCAAATTCATTGGAGGGAAGAATACATGCTCCAAGTTGTACCTGTCTACTGTCAGTTTATCTTTCCACCGTATGACAATTTGGTTGGACACTGCCTATCGCACATACACGTATATTTGTTGTGATAGTTGTGATAGTTGTGATTGTTGTGATTGTTGTGATTGGTGTGAATGTTGTCGTCTTGTCGATAGAGAGCCGTGATAAAATTATATATAAAATTGCATCTATTTTTATTATTTCTAGACTTGGCAATTTATGCATGCGGCCATGTATTCATGATGCTCTCATTGTACTGAGGCGGCGAGGCCTGAAGGCTGAAGGCTTAGGGCCTGAGCCCTGGCCCCTAAGGCCTTGAGCTGCCTAATTAAATACCAGTCACTAACTCTGAGTCACTCAGCCAGACTCGCACTCTTGGTCTCTAAAGTCTAAAACTCTAAAGTCTAAACACTGTAAACGCTTATAAAAACAGTCTGTTCCAATTCGTGACTTCGTCTTATTTTTCAAAACAATTATAGGTACATATTATGAATTTATGATAGATCGAACGACTCTATAAATGATTGTTCAATTTAGGAGGCTATGCAATGATTTGTATTTATTTTAAATATAGCTGTACACAATACTGTTTTTATTTATTTAGATACAGTCATACCTCTTTATATGTCCAGTTCTCGAGATTGGCAAATATTTGGACATATAAAGAGGTAAGACAAGTCTGGGTCAGTTTCATACCATCAGGTTCGGGGTCCAACCTATGGGAGTATGGGTCACACCAGGAGGTATTCTAGGCGCTCTCATTAAATACCCCTTTCGTGACGCTCAAGCCCTGACTTACACTAAAACCAGCTTCTCTAAACCTTATTTACCGACCCACTCAATCAAACGCTTCTCGAACTCGTGATGTGTTCCTCTCCTTTCTCGATATTTCTTTTTGCATGCACCTCATAAGACTGACTGAGTATGTTCTCTCCAGACTCCATGAACCTTCTTATTGTTTTGATACTGACGCCGAATGATACATGCGCTACCCGCACGGCCTCCTTAACTAAATCCTTACGATAGCTGTCTTTCCATGATAGGTCTAAGCTGTATCCCGCTTTCTGGATTGTACGCACGATGACACCTTTAACTTTGTTTATTAGATTGATTCTTTTTGTTGTATTGGAGCTCACATTTGATAATACAGTCTGTTTATATGTTTTCTTCTTCTTACCAAAGTGAGCTTATCTATCGTTGTAGGTGCGTTTTGTGTCAATTCGTCTGGCTCTGTCTGTCTGTTATTAGTGAAACCAGACTCCCACATGTCATCCGGTGGCTGGCTCTTATCTGTAGACAGGCAGTAACCGATTGAATTTGAGCCATACCCCTCACCAAGATGCACGCCACAAAAGGCATGCATACTTCGATCGCAACCAGCACATTTATATACACCACCCACTGGGTGCGTTGTAGTGCATTCTTTCGCACAACAGCGTTCACCACTAGAAGTGTCTCCCATCAGGATCTATTGTAGTACATACTCTAGTGGATGTATTATAGATAAAGCTACCGCCAAGCTAAGGTGAATGGTGAAATATTCACACATGTAAAAACTTTAATAATAAAAAAGATACATATACGAATGACCCCTGAGTCTGAGTCTCACCGGCCCTCTGACGATCTGACCGCAGTGACCGGATGGCCGGAGCACTATGATGAACAACACAAATTTAAAGAAGAGCAATTAGCTCCCAATCAGTGATATTAATAGTCGACGTCCAAGAGCAGGCTGCAGGACCGGTCTAAAAAGACCTGACTCATTTATAGGGGGTTGGCCAAAATAGAAATTGTACATATAATGAGGTAGACACCTTAAAGAGGTGGACATATAAAGAGGTATGACTGTTCTATATTTTTAGATCTCATTCAGGGCCCCAGGGCCCAGGCTGACAGGCTCTACAAGAACCCAAGACCCCAAGTCCCATACAGCCAAGGAGATCTGATTTAGGAGGGCCAAGACTATTTACATACCAGGAGCCCAGGAGTCCAGGACTGTACATACTAATTATTGTACATACAGTATTTACGGTTACCACTAAAATATGTACTCCAGACTCCAGTCCCTCCAGAGTCCAGACTCTCCAGTCTCCACTCTCCAGTGGTTAAAAATGAATATTTACTTATTTGTTCATTTATTAAAAAAAAAACAACAGTTTATTACGATATAAGAAAAATAGATAAACTGGGTCTGGAGCTTCTTTACTTAAAAAAAACAATTATAAAAAACGTATGTATGTTCAGTGTGTCCAAAACTTGATATAAGAAAAATAGATAAACTGGGTCTGGAGCTTCTTATTTTTTAAAAAACAATTATAAAGAACGTATGTATGTTCAGTGTGAGTGTATGTATTTACACCAAATATTTAGAAAAAAGAAAGTATTTCATATGTTACATAAATATTTACTCTAAATTTTGTTTCAAGCCTTCGGGCTTCGGGGCTTCCTTCCGTTAAAACTTTTATAAATCGAATGTATATACGTTTACATTCCTTTTTTCTTCTATATACGGTCCTTTGTATTCTCATAGGTGCACCTCGAAGGTCCAAAAGTTTAAAAGTATGTACCTTTTCATAATACGAGCCAGTCCTATAAAGAGAACTTTTAAAAAAGTATGTTCATACATAGGCCCTTAAAATCACATAATAAACGTTATATTTTGTTTTTAAAGAAAGAAATGAATAAATATGCGTTTACGTTCAACTTCTATCCCGTACCCCCATAAACTTACGATGTCATCAACTTTTATTATTATTTATCATCCTTGTGAGCCCTGAGCCCCTGACTCCCAGTCCGTGAGTGAGTGAGGGAAACCGGAATTCCTCCAGGCCCAGGGCCAGGGACGCCAAGCTGCAGCTTGCAAGTCTGCAACGAGGTTGCAACACGAATACTAGATCTTATGTTCAATTTATCCAGTTTGGTTGGTGGAGGCAATACACAGCAGGTGGGAGCAAAGCTTTGAAATATAAAGCAAGATGTAAGATAAATACGCGAAATATCTCTTGAGTTTCTTTTTACAATTTAGCCTCCTGACTCCCGAGTCCTGAGTACTGAAGTTCTGACTCCTGAGTCCTGAGTCCTGAGGGCTGAGGGCCCGAGACTACGTAAATTTTAATGACACTGTTAAAAAAATACTGTTAAAAAATAGTTCCTTGCTCGGCTGCTCCGTTTTCGTATATTTTTTCAAAACAAAACTCACTGCAGACACATTTCGTCGAATTTTGAATTTTCAAGTTTCCTTGTTTGAGTTATATCATTTGTATGTACGTAGTACAAAGTAAATATATACAAGTAAAAGCAATAGTCACGTTCCTAAAACAGTATCATCTCTGAAATGTACTCCAATAGTGTGCTATATACTTCGCAGTGCATAAGGAGTTTTGAACCCCCTGATCGGAAATACACAACTTCAACGCAAGACAAACCGCTAGCGGGTGATTTTACTTTTAGACAGCTTGTATGGCCTTTATAAGAAAGATGTTGATTGTATCATCCAGTAATACTGTATCCTTAAGAAGCTATTGTGTTCGATATGAAGAAGAAACAAGGCGAATTGAGCTCGCAACCTGATATGACAATTCTAAAGGGTTACCATATTTAGACGAAGTATATGCCAATACCTGAAGGCCGAAGCCTATCGGGTCGTGTGGCGTCATAATATCACATGGACCGTTGAGCACACGCCGCAATGTCTGCAACTGGCAGTATAAATACAAGTACCATCTCTAATACATATTCTTAAAACACAAAATAAGTAAGTATCAACGCAGCTGAACAAGATGAAATCAACCAACTGTACTGTTGTGATCGCAGGTCTTCTGAGCGCCAGTCTGGTGATAAACTCAGTCGTCGGATTTGTAGCACCTGAAAAGGCGTTCGATAGTGATTTCATGCTGAACAAGCCGCAGCTTACTGGACCCGGTGGGGGCTTAAAATTTTCCGTCGGAGATAACAATAAGCCCAAATCTTCTGGAGGCGGCGCACCAGGAAATTGGCCCGACATCAATGGTGTCGGCATGAGTACGGTTGCATTTCGTCAAAATGAATGTGGTGCGGTTGCACCTCATGTACACTCCGACGCATCTGAATTCCAAACAGTAGTTATGGGTGAGGGTATCATCGGAACTTACGGAGTAGGAGACAAAAAGCTAACTTTAGAGCACGTCACTATGGGCGATACATTCTTTTTCCCCAGAGGCAGTATGCACTTTCAGATAAACTCTGGTACACATCCATTCGTATCTGTAGGCGCATTTGACGTTTCTCAGCCCACAGCTGCTTTGGTCATCGGGCTTGTGTCTCAATTGGGAGATGCCAAGAAAGCTTTGGGACTCGACACAGATTCCAGTAAGGATACCGACGGTCTAGATGGAGTATTCCCACAATTCAAGATGTCGAACTGCGAGGAGGTTCTTGAAATGTTCATGGACATGATATAAATTACATAATATGGCGAAATAGACAGTTGTTAGAACAGTGTATGATGACGAGCATTTGATACACTCATTAATCATATAACTGGACTTTTAGAAGAAACATCAACGCAAGAACTTATTAAAAAATATAGACTATGTTGTGTATGGTAACCGCCTCATTGCGAGTGGATGCTACTCTCCTATTACGAAAGTGTTGAGGAAATCTTCCGAACTAAAGTGTTGCTCATTTTTTATACTTAAAATCGAAAATTCATTGTTGTAGAAAAGGTGTCGTATCTAGTCCGGACTTATAGTTTGCAGGGCTATAGTAGACTTCTTCGCATATTCCATGGAACAAAGACCAATCTTTATCGAAGGGTGTCGTATTCAGTCCGGACCTATAGTTTGTATACCTATAGTAAATTTCTTCACCTGAATGTGCTGTTCATGGTGAACCAAGAATTTTATATAAAAGTGGGGTTTAACACAATGACAGCAAATGCGGTCCTTTGCTTTATCATCAAAGTATATTTCAACGTCAGCGAGCAATGTTGTATATTCCATCTTATACTAGATTAGTGGTTTGTACTTATCATAGACTTAACTTATATTGAAAAGGTGTCCTATTCAGTCCAGACCTATAATTTGCGGGCCTATAGTAGACTTCTTCGCATGTACCATGGATCTAACACGGATTTTTATCGAAAGGGTGACGTATTCAGTCATACGGACCTATAGTTTGTAGACCTATAGTAGATTTCTTCACCTGAATGTGCTGACAAGTTGAACTTTTCAAGGTATACTAGGAATTCAATAGAAAGGGGGGGTTTAACATAGTGGCAAATGCGGTCCTTTGCTTTATTAGCAAAGTATAATATTTCAACATCAGCGGGCAATGTTGTATATTCCATGTTGTACTAAACTAGTGATTTGTATTTAGCCTAGACTAAATTTTATCTAAAAGGTGTCGTATTCAGTCCGGACCTATAGTTTGCAGAGCTATAGTAGACTTCTGCGCATGTGAGTTCCACCTTGTACTATTTAAAAAGTGTATCCCAATAGAAAAGGGGACAAGTTATGCAATTGTCACATCAGTGATTAGAATATGTACGTTTCAAATCATCTGATCTCTGACTATTAATGCGGAATTTCTATGCGTAGTATGTATGGACAATACCCACACAAAATCCAAGTTCCCATATCTACATGTTTTAAGCTGGTAACACTTTCATTGATATTTCTTTGTCGACAACCACAATAAAAGCCTTGTATGTTGCAAATTGACAATTGTTCAGGAGGTTGACGGATGATCATGTCTTGATTGGGTATTGTTTGAAGTACATCACGATAGCTTCTAACAATTTAAAATGGCTCTTAACAGTTTTAAAGGAACATGAATGTGAACACAAGGTGTCTACGTTAGTGCACGGTTCAAAATTAAATAGGTAGAGCAGATGGATTTTGAATCTAAAAGAACACTGCAAATCCATCAATCTCATGCTACCATATCATTGCATTCTAGAAACGTCTGCATAACTGAATATCTTGTCAAAACTTTATATCACTATAAAGTAGAAGAGTCTGCGTTAGTGCACGGTCCATAATTGAGTAGATAGAGCAGATGAATTTTGAATCTAAAAGAATTCTACATATTCAACAATCCTATGCTATCAATCCATTGCATTTTAGAAAGGGCTGCTTAATATTACACCATAGGTTGAAGGACTTCACATTATCTGCTGATACCATGTGGTACAAGTTGATACGGGCTTTATATCTATCCGACCATATCAGCACCTTATTGCCTTATTGGTCATTTTTCAATTCACTCCAGTAATAATTCCCGGAGTGGTATAAACATTACTATATTTGCCAATATCCAGCTCGGCACTCTCCGCACTCAACAACGTACAACCTTCGTATGACCGACTGGATAAGAGTGTCCGGGAAAACAGCTCTCAAAGCATATCTGATATCGCTCGCACAACTATACACTAAAACTGACTATTAATGTCGTATATAGAATCAAACAATTCACTTTCAAGTCTTTATTTAAAGTTCGAACTTCTCATCTCGATTTTTTCGCGATATGTACATTTGTCAATGGTTTGTCCTGCGCCTTTATATTTCCGCCAGCCTTTACACTGGCAGAGATCCTCCTTATACGTATTGAACGAAAGTTCGTCATCTTGACGCTGCAGCCTTTTGATATTTAGTATTGGCGTAGGTAGTGGTATATATTTACTCCGGTTTCTGGATGTGTATTATTAGTGAATGCACTCATAACTGCATGTTCCTCGTACATTATAGGACACTTACACCATAATCAGACCTATATCCACAGCGAAATAAGGAATGGCATCGTACATTTGCGTCAGTGAATTCTCGCACAATATATATCTGAATTATGTCAGCGGTGCAGTTATAGCTATATATCGCCATCTCTCCTGGTGCTCTCCGTAACCTCGAACCGGTTCGACACAATTCATCGGAATGAACGATGGGGCAGGTTAAGATATAAAATTAATTTTGTCATCATCAGCATAGATTGTATTTCAAGTCGGTCTGCCAGAATTTGCGATCAATTCTTTGGCAGATTCGTTGTTCTCCTGGCAAATGTCTCATACATCCCCCTCCCAATCAGAATTGTCGGTACTTTCTAGATGTTCCGAGCTGATTAGTGTGCAAAAGGCAAGCGAACAATCATGAATATTTCCACTTAGCTTTCATTTATCCTCCCGGGCCTTGTATAGAAGGCAAGTGAGCACAATATACCCCAACAAACACTGAATATCGGACTATCGCGATATGATGATGTAAAAAGACTTATATGTTGTAACATAGAACTGTTCAGAGTATGCCACTTTCAAACAACTCTGTAGAGCAGAGAACAAGTGCTACGTTGAACCCTACTTACTTTACGTGCTTGAACTTCTCGAAGCCCTTGCTAAGGTGCTCCACCAACGTATTCGCCGGTTTCGCCCTATCTTTCAGCGTTGCGATGCTGCCACCGGTTGTCAGTCGTCCAGCGTAATTGAATGTGGAGCCCTCTGAATTGCAGGGCTTAAGTCTCGCGGCGTCAGGCATGCGACCTCTTCGCTTACCTAGAGTGATACTAACATCTGCACCGTTCTTGATGATGGATGATGTATTCAGCCCGTCAATCTGGTCTGCGAGGAGCAGTATTATTTTTGATCAGCTGCTGAGAAGAGGCTCTAAAATGGCCGCTTTTCTGCAATCAGCCACAGCTTAATCAAACAGGGTTTAACAAATATACAGTACATTGATATAACGTGGCCATAATATCCTGTCAAAGAGAAAGCATAGAGACCGCAATGATTGCAAAGATCGTATCCACAGTTACGAACATTATGTGATGTACACGAGCTCGTAAGAAAAATTTGCTGGCCCGCACATACTTACCAGCCTTTCCTTGAAGTCGGAGCGTCAATTCAGCCTTCAATTTATTTTGTCCTGCCTGCGGGAACTTGTCTGTCAGTACATCATTTTTCTTACCTCCGGTTACAGGAACTGCGCCTGAAGTCATTAAAGCGACCGGGCGTGGAGCTGCGCTGCGGGGAGGAGGTGGTGGTGGCGGCGGCGGTGGTGGAGGTGCCTGCAGAGTCGGATACAGAAAGTATAAGTGGGATGTTTGCACCTCGATAGAAAGAGTATGCTTCAGAGAGACTACGCCCACAAACATACAATATATGGAGGTACAGTTAAGGTACGTTGTCGTTTTTGTATTTCAGAGGCCCTCCAGGTTTTATCGATATTATGTACTGAAACGGAATTCACACGCATACACAAGATACTGCGAGTGGGGATGATGTATTGAACTAGTGCATAGATAAATAAACAGCAAAGCAAACAGTCCAGTATGCATACGCTTTTGTAAACCAATATAGTATACTCTCTTAGATGAGCGCACATGTTTTGTGCTTGTCCACAGCCAACGACACAGACCTGTTTTGGTTGCGATGCGATTTTAATATTATAGCGGGTAGCTTGAAATTTCTTGACGAATTTATCCGTTGATTGTAACTCCATATCAACTGCACTGGCGACGTATTCAGACTCTATCAGCTTTTGTGTAATCTGCAACGTGAGAGCAACGAGCAACGTTGTGATGTGATCAGTGTTCCGATACATGTGTGTGTCCACGCAACGATAGAATAGTGTGTACTTCACGAATCAGCACTCGTGCATTCCCATATGAAGCCTGCAGCTGCCGAATAGTAGATATACACATACAATTCTAAGGACGGGGATGCGCCTGCTGCCCACGACAATTGCAGTAACCGCTGCTCGTACAACAAGGTATACACTCATGGTATACCATTGGGCCATATCGTACGCGGAGGTGTACTGTTGATGAAATGCAAAATTAGTATAAGTCAAAGCGCTATAAAGGCAACATGTCATTAATCAATATAAGACATGTGATCAATACCATGCCATTGCGCGCTCAATTAGTGTATATAGAACACATTCAGTGCAAAACGTGGTGCCTGTTATGCACAGAAGTGTGATAGAATTGAAATTCAATAGTCAGCAAATCCGGTAACAACGACCAAGAAACTACAACTATCTATTTGCTCGTATGGATGTTGGGATCTAACTGGCTATAACAAACACAGGTACGCTAAATTCATGTCACTGAGTCATGCTGTATTTACACACAATGCACTTTCCACCAATGATGTGAGGTATCAATCGCATTTCAAAAAGAAATCACAATACACTCAACTCTTATTGATTCTAATAACGCCTACTTCGCGGTACGTAAAAAATATTCGCTGGTGCATTCATTGTCGGTCATTATGGTAATAAGATCCCAAAAAAAGCTGTACAATGCGTTCAGTATTCGGCATGCTTTCGCGAGTATGCCTAGTGTATTTCCTTGTGATCGACAGCTGTTGACGCAAACATAGTATATATCATAAACTCTTATCTTCAGCTTCATTTAATATTTGTGGTATGCAAAAATGATGATAACTACTGATATATAGACATATATATAATATATAATATATATATATATATATATATATATATATATATATATATATATATATCTAGTAGTAGTACGACACCGACCACACACACACACACACACACACACACACA